CCCAAGTTCTGAGTTTGCTCCTGGTCAAAGGTATTTGTAAATTTTATCTCTGATACAACACTTGCCTTAAAATGTGTGCAAACCAAAGTCCTCTGTCCATTGTAATTTGATTTAAATTTAGTTCATTTTGTATTTCAGTTGTAACACAAACTTTAAAAACTTTTTCTTCACGTACGATATTCTGGATTCTTTATAATGTAACACGAAATATATAATCTTACACTAAAATTTACACCAAGCAATAAGGAGACTGTCAAGTTCTCCTATTGTAATTGTGGTTTTGGTTTCTTTAAAATAAAATTTTGGCTGCATTATTTATATGGATGGAATGCTTCATGATAAGCATTAAATCAAGATAACATTAATATTCAAACCATAAAGATGTGCATTGCCAATTGCTATATACAATAATACCTCCATTGTTCATTGTATTCTTCAAATGTATCAATGCCAACAAACGCTTCAATTATGCTGTGAATACACTCTCAATGAAGAAATATTAAGGAGTCATGTATCAGTAAATACCAAAACCACCAGCACAAAAATCCCACAAGTACAACATTGGTCTTGAGCTAGCAGAAATTACATTTATAAAATGCTGAGATTAGTTTCTCAAAGCAAGTTACAAATTGTTTCAAGCATATACATAATCGAATAACCTTTAAGAATGAAACCTTTCATAATGATCTTAAAGCACTGGAAAAGTGAGCTGCATTTAGTGGGGAAGAGTATAGCAATGCAGGTCAATTTATTATTTGTTTGTTTAGCCTGGAATAAGTTACTGAAAGTCACTGAACTTTCCTTCCTGCAACAGAGAGGCTGGAGTAATTCAAGAGGGTTGGAAGTTTCAATTCAGAGGTTTGAAATCAATTTTGTACACAGAAACTTGCACTCAGTAAGTCAAGGAAATAACATTATATATTGCCTTAATCAGCAGGGTTAGAAGCAAAGGCCATAAACTTCTCCAGATGGTACAGCTATCTTCCAAAATAGCAACGCAGTGCAGCAAGTAGCAGAACACCAGAATTGCCCATTTCAGTAAAAACGTACACTTGAAAATTGGAGCTTTGACTATGGAGACAATGGGAATATTTTTAAATACAAAACCTATTCAAAGAAAACAGCTAACATAACAAGAAACTGTCATAATTTCTCAGATGATTACATAATGTTGTCAATTTTATTAAGTTTCTGTTTTCCTCAAAATCTGTTTTTCTACACCTAACACATAAAAATCATGAACAGTAGTCAATTTTCTGCAGAGTATTTTCTCAGAATTCATCCATTAGTGTCATAGTAATCATATAAAAAGCACAACAAATACTTTAAATGTTAAAAGCAATTTTTCTTTTTTTTTTTTTTAGCATAAAAAACCCCCAAAAAATAAAGGAAAGAGGACTGCAAGACAGTCTGAGTAAGGAAATCCTACACCTCGGCAAGTACATAGGTGTTTGTTTTTATTTAATCAAAATACCATTTCTTTTAAGATGTTAATACTGTACTTTATAAAGCATCATGCAAAACCAGAAACAGCTTTATCACATACTAACAAAGAGGATGGAGAAGCTTCATCCCATATCTTATGTTATTTAATCACACACCCAAATTCACAACCAAAAGAACAAGTTGTACTATTTACCCAGACGTGCTCTAACACAACACTGCATTTTCAACAACTGTGGAATAGGAAAAGGACCCCTTTTTCACTGGCATCACAAATAACACGCAGAGACCGGCTCTCCTTTAATAGTCAATTAGAGCATTAAGTCCTATTTTGCTTTTCTTGGTCTCTTTAGTGTTGCCCCTTTCTAAAAATACGATCACTTTGCTTAAATAATTCAACTTCAGTGCTTATCTTGATCAGCCATAACAATAAATTCATCAGACTGTTTGTAAGCATAAAAGGCAGTGTCCCTCCCCATCTGATCTAATTTTACTGCGCTTCAATTCCAGTGACTGCCTCTAATTGTGCAGTAAGAATGACACAAAGAAAATTATGATACCCTATTGAAGAACTCCTTTTGGTCAACTTTTTACCTACTTGTTCTCTGCACATTCATTCTCTCTTCATATTTTGGCAATTACCTCAAAATCTCCAGTAATATCAGAAGCATATCATCCCATTTTTACATCAAGGCGGTTAACACAGGACGAACAGGGATCCCATGCTTCTGTCACAAAAAATGACAACACACTGATAATTACGGTAGGACCTGTACCTTTGCCATTCTAGAATATGATGCGAGAAGAAAATTTAGATCAAGAGACTTGGTGCTTTATTTTGTTTGTTCTTTGGTTTATTTTTAAGAAAAAAACCCAAACCATCAATTTATTTAGGAAAACGGTAGGCTAAATGGAATGAACGCATTTTTCTTTTTTTTTTTTCTTTCTTGATTTTGAGACAGAACTTTTATAGAGGACCATAACACACAGAGTAGCTCTGTTTTTCTCACCTCCTTACTTACTTTCTCTTAATAATCACATACTTGTTATCAGTTAGCAGTTTTCCTTAGTGGATTCACAGCCTCAGATTCTTTTCTCTGAGCAGGTCCAGTTGGCAACAACACAATGCCAAGCTCTTGATTAAACAGCAGCATTGTTCCATTGTTTGCTCCTTAGAAGCTCCAACAATGAAGATGCAGTAGCAGCACAAATTCCACAGAAATCAAGAATACCACTATATTACAGTTCTTTGACAAGTTTTAGAGAAGTCTAAATCACTTCAGAGCACGCCTGATCAATCTATCCTGTCTTTTTCGCATCTAGCCACCAGTTACTACCTAGCATCTCTGAACCAGCTGACGAGTACAGAACGAATGGCAGCCTATTTTGTACAGAAAACCAAAGAGCTGCATTAAGAGAAGCTAATGTTGAGAAAGGTAATGTTATTTCTACAAATCTGTGACTTTTGTAACTCTAATCCTCTAATTCAACCCCCATGCTACACCTTCATTCTTTCCCTTTTACTTTTCAACCTGTGATGCACAACGTATATTGTCAAGTGGTTTCATATTAACAAGTAACACAAAAGCTTCCTCTCCAATTTACCTATTTAAATTTCTAGAAATTTCTCTTCCATGGTTTGTTAGGAACAGTTCCTTTTGTTTATACTTACGTATAAAATGGAAGCACAATCTTAAGCTTGTTTATGAATGAAGCTTCTTGTCAGCTAACAAGCAGATGCATGTCCATAGACATGAAAGGCAGAAACGAATCTTCACGATTTAAGGGCTTCAAAGTCAGGAAATCTTCACCATCTACATTCAACCTCATTTCAAGCTCTGTTCAGCAAAGTCATAGCTGAGAAGTGACAGTTACCAATCATTTTCAGAGTACCCCTTGGCTGCTGCACCTATTACAAGCATGAAGTCTCAAACTTCAGAAGTCTTCTGAGTAGACTCAAGATCAATCAACAGTAGAAAATAAATAAAATTATACCATCTTTACCTCTGATACAATGACCTTTCTTGGATCTGAAAGTGTCTTGTGAACTACAGCCCACAGACAAAACGAGGTAAGGAGATTTAAACCAAAATTTACAGAAAGACTAGTAATCTAGAAACAGAACTGATACACCCAAGGCACCGATTCAGCTCTATACAAAAGACACTCAAAAGCAGGGCTCATCAATTTATTTTTTAGTGTGAAGAAACTAAAAATTGCTTCACTATACAGAGCGACTACCACAAAGTAACAAGTTACTGAGGGGCACTGGCTTCATGGTGACTGCCTGCGCACTCCACAGCAAATGCCAATCGTTCCAGGTAGCCCCCCCTTTAATCTACCTACCTTGTGTTACCAAGTCACCATCAGATAGCTAGCTAGACCTTGGACACAAACATACGTGTGATCTACCAAACAAAGGACAACAAGATGCAACTCACTTTGTAGCACGTGTGTTGGGTGTGAACCGCTTATAAATGGCACAAGGTTCTACAACTTCAGATGCCCCTTGGACATCCAGTAGACAGAAGCTACTGTTCCAGTTTCAGTTTCAGTGCTTCTATTACACTACAGCTTAACACCCGCTCAATCCAGTGTCCTAACTTCACTTCTGTGTAGCAAAAGCATAAGTAGAAGTAACACACACAAGCAAACTCTTCTTAAAACGTTTAACCTGGAACTAAAAGCTAGGAAAAAACCTGCAGGGACTTGTTTTTCCCCGTTTTGGAGCTCTGCTAAGCAGTAGGTTTTGCAACAAGAGAAGGACAAGTATGAGAGCTTCCATGTAAACCAGAGTGGTAAGGCTGTACTCATTACAATACATGAGTAATATAGCCAGTGAGAAGGAATGGAATTCCTTCTGATTCAACCTGCTGAATTTACTAGCATACAATATTTGTAAAATGCAGTAAACTACATCCATCTTTTCAACCATAGCATGTAAAATCATTCCATCTTAGATGGGAAATGTGTTGCAGCAAACAATAACAACTCTGATTTGGGCAGCCGAGTGATTGTACAAAGAAGTAATTTTTACCCTGTAAACAAAAAGTATTTTAAAAAGTTTGTGTTCCATGTCTCAAATACTGCTAATATGCAAAGACAGTAGGATTCTAGTAATTAGGAAGTCATTCTGAAGGAGAGAATGTTGAGAATGACAGTAAGTTACTAAACATTATAATTCCCATTTACACTGCCAAATACAGTCTCTCTGGAGTACACTTCAGAACAAGAGAAAAGCTTTCGCATTTGTGATTTCACTACGTTGCTTAAAATAGCTGGTGAAAAGTCACCAATCTTCCATGCAAGTGAAAACACACTGGCTTTTTATTTATTTTTGTTAAATCCAGAAGTTATTTTGAAAATAAAACAATCCTATGGTTTTTGAAACTACTTTTGACTTTTCTGAATTTACCTTTGAATTTACATGCAAAATTCTAATTCACTTCTTCATTAATAACCAGAAAAACCCAAAACAACAAAACAAACCAAAATCAAACAAGAAGTTTCCAGGATTGGAAGCATTTATTGCAAAGGTTAAAAATACTAGTTCCTACCTCCACTTTTGTTCGGTAGAGAATGAGACGCTTTAGGTTGCCCACTTTGGCTATGTGGTTGAAAGCCTGAGGTGGTATTTTATCACATGATGAGAGATTTAATTCCTGAAGATTTGGACACATTTCAGTAATGACCTCCAAGCATGTTTCATTGAGGAAATGGCCACAAGACAACTCAAGACGTACTAGTTCAGAGCCACAAACTTTCAAGAACCTGTAAAAAAAACCCCACATTTTAAGTGAAAAATAAACTTACTTTCAAATGAGAGTCTGAATACTGTCAAAACCTTAAGCACGTAAACCAGCAAATAGTTCCTTCCAACAATGAAAAGCCTACAGACCATAGCTCTTCTGTCACCTCGGTTAAGTAACAGAAAACATGATTAGGTTAATCAAATTAATCATAACCACTCTGAAGAAGTAAATTCTGAATAAAATCTGTACAAATCCAGAAGCAACCAAACTAATTAGGTGTTGAGTTAGAGAGCAATATTAAAAAACCAAAGGTAGTCTGAGAGTCAAGGCTGTTTCATCAACATTAACTTGATACTGTACATAACCTAGATACTGTACGATGTTTTGTACAAAGGAATATTTGACCACATTTTGAGAAACACACAGCAGGCTATACAACGCTGTACATGGCACGAGGAGGTTAATGTCACTAAAGCAGCCTTAAAAAACAATTCTACCTCGAAAATGAATTGCAAAAGAATCATTGGGGGTGAGAACGGCATAGAGAGGGCCTTTTAATAAATTAAAGTTAATTTTGACAATGGCCTGCAAGTTTCCACCAATAATTTCATATTTCTCTTTACCTCAGAAAAATCTGCAAATGTAAAAATGAGGTTAAACAATTTTTGTATGGATTACACATTCAGGAGGAGCGTTTTAAGACTTTCAGAAAACACCTCATTCCTTTCATTAACAAATAAGTCAAAATCAACACTTTGTAGCTGTTCTAGAACACAGAGATTCCTAAGGACTATTTCATATGCCTTTCATTGGAATTATAAAAAATTCAGATATGAGAAGACAAAACACCCAAAATTTAGAAACTCTGATGGTCTCTGCACGAATTATACCTTCTGCCAGAGATCTCGTGTCAAAATTCAAGCTGTATTATATCTAATCCAAGCTTTAACTAAAAACACAGAAGCTTATGTCCCCCTTTTTATTGCAATGATAACCTTCAAACTGTAAATCAATCACTAGGCTTGTAAGTCTGATATTTAATAGGAAAAACACCCCCACACGTTTGCCATGATTTTGTTACACTTTATTTTAATAGTTTCTCCAGTAGAAAAAATTAAGTTCCTAACCTATGGGCTGCAATGAGTTCTCCTTGTTACTTCCTAGAACAATGGAGCTACTTTTGAGAAAGCATGAATTAGTTTATCATAATAAATATTCTGATCTGCTCTATTACCAGTTCTATCCCACAAAAAACTTCACACAGACAAAGGAGCTTTAGGTTCTGACAGTTTCACCGCAAAGTTCTTCCTGGGTTTAACTGATACAATAGAAATGCCAGCGAGACACAAGGCTTCTGCTTGCTTAAAAACTCCTATTGCTACAACCAAACAGGTATGAGCCTTCCCAAGACTTTGCCCCTGCTGAAACTTAGGACGAAATAGCTGCTGGTCTTAAAAGCAGACACGTTCAGGGAGGCATTCCTCAATGACACTAACTGCAGCACAGGACTGGAAGTTCATCTTTCAAGATCCAAGTTTTCAAACCTTCTCCTTTCCTTATTTTTTCATGACTCAAGTCATACTTGCCATTCATCACCACCTTTCGTTATTCCTTTCATCGTGCACATTACAAGGGCTTAGTTTGATTATGCAGATCCTATGCAATACGGAGGGAAAAGGAGATTCCAGGGTGGCATCTCCATCCCTGGAAGAGTCACCTGAAACCTTGACTGACCTGATCTAGCGCTGGGGACACTGGCACTTCAAGTAGGAGCCTGGAGTAGACGACCTTCAGAGGTCCCTAACATCCAACATTTCTATGAGCCTATGCAAACAGAAACAAAGAGAGGGTCTGAGACAGGAAAGGGGAGACATAAGCCCCACAGCCACAAGGGTTCTGCCAAGGATGGTCTTCAAATCTACTCTTCCACTATTGTTATCTAACTGCAGTCTCTCTTTAGAATCTATTTTAGCTTGTAAAAATCAGAGTTTAATCAAACATCAAGCACTTATTTGCTGTTTTCATACTGGCTGAAGTGAATTCACCTAGACTGGTAAGTCTTCTTTTATGGGAGTGTCAGAGCCGAAATGACATGACAATTCACAACAATTAACATCAAGTATTTAAACATTAAACTGCTACTTTGGACTAGCAATAGAGTTCAACACTGCCACAGAGAAACGCAGGATGGAAATCCCTCGGAAATGAGAGTAGAGATATATGGATTCATTGCTGATTACCAATGAGCCAATTCCTCTATTTAATGAGTGCTTTAACAATACATTCACACAGTTTCTTTCATCAACAAATTATCAGGTTTGTTTGAATGGTGATATTTTCCATAAAACCTTGTCAGTCGCCACTTATTATACCTCCAGTTTTTAATCTGCCAACGGATAAATATTTTATGAATTACTCCATTACAATAATGGATGTTAGGTTAACTGCCATATAATTTAACAGGGCTTGGCTGTTATAAATGTTGGTACAGATCACGCTTTTCTCCTTCTAGGACTATTAAAAGTTAGCATTACCAGGTCAGGGAAAGACTCAGTTAACCCCCTAGACTTGGGGAAGAACTCCAGGCTCACCAGCTTGAGTAGTTATTATCCTCGTAATGTTTTATTTAAATTCATTACACTTGAAACACACAGGCAGCACAAACACAGCAACGAGCACTGCACTTCATGGCTTTGCTGCCTTTTTGGAAAAGGTTATTTAGGAGATATTAAACAGAAAAGCAAGGGGGATAAGGGACATGCAGCAGGGTACAGGAACGAGCTGACAGGCATGAAGTAAACAGATGAACAGAAAGAGGAGGAGGAATGCAAGGAAGTCACCAACCAGCACAGGGCAGAGAACATCAGGCAGAACTGCAGAGTTCTCTGAATGATCAAGACCCCCCAATCTTTCTTTGCACTTAACAGGCTGCTCAGGACAGAGGTTTTTCCTAATGTCTCTCTAGGTGGATTTCCAAAGCCATATGGCAAGGTCTTCATGGGTTCTCATGCTTTCGGAACAAATGTGGCATGGCCTTTGTACTTCTGAGACTTAACAGACACTGGATGTCTGGCTGTGACTTCGCTCATTTGAAAACAACCAACCTCCAAAAAAGCACCTTCTAGTCAAATCAACATTTCTTCACAGACCTCTCCTTTAATCCCTGAGGACTGACTCGTTCCCGTTTTTAGTCTCTTCTCCTTTCTGCACAGTTATCCATCTCTTTAGCTTTGCTTTTGTTATCAATATTTTATACACACAATTTCTGAAGTGATTTCCCTTCATCCCTTCCTGTTTGTTATGAAATACCACTAAACAACCTAGAATAAAGTGAATATGTACATTTATTTTGCAAGACACTGGATTGGGCCTTTCTCTCTAAATTTATCCTCATTCTAGACTGCAGTATTTCAGGGGTGGTTTTGGTTGTTGTTTTTTTGGGTTTTGTTTTGGTTTTTTTTTGAGGTGTGGTTGTTTTTTGTTTGGTTTGCCTTTTTTATTAAAGAAACAAACCCAAAACCAACCCACCTCATTTTCCAGCACCTTCTGCCTGCTCTCAAGAACCGCTGCTCATTTTCCCCTCGCTTCAGCTTCTGGGAAGTAAGTTAGTCCTAGTGAAATCCTTCTGAAATATCAAACATACCTATTAGTAGTTAGGATGCTATTTGCTCATGCTGATGCTAAACCCATCATGATCATAGGGTCACTTAGTCTATTAACAACTTCCAGTCTTGTAATTCATGTTTGTATCATAAGCATATCCCATGAGCCAAAGAGGATCCAAAATTAATATATCAAGGTACAAGAGATAGCACCCTTCATGTCAGAACTGGCTGTATAAGACCTCCCAAACAAAATTCTCAAAATACCTTGAGACTTACGCTTATGAGGGTACTGAACACACCACATTTGCTTCAATGGTTTCTAATGGAACTGCACTGGATCCAAAACCTACACTTCACTGTTAGCTTAATGATCCTCACTTACTTGATAATCCATGGTTCAAAGTTCTTGAAAACGCTACAAGAAGCAGAGATCACAGTCCATTTCTCTCTCATCTACTCATCCTTCCTAAACACAAATAGCTACCTAGTTTTGTATTCCTTTAGTACAATTATCCCAAGCGGTTTCAATCATGCCAATTTTACCAAATCTATTTTCAATTAAAATCTTAGGTACTCATTTTGCAGTCATCAGCCTATAAACCACTGAATTTGGTGTCCAAGAGTGTGCATAGGGGGGAAGCAACTTCCATTTAGGAACAACACAGGGCTGGATAGACGTTTTTTCTTTAGCACTTCCCCTCACAGTATTACCTTACGCTAGCATCCAAATTAGGGGCGTTACCTCCATTACTTGACACATATAACACTGCCGCATTTGCCTAGCCTTCCTCAGTATCGCCCTCCTAGAACCAGTATTTCATGAAAACCACCATTTCATTTTGCTTCAAGCCAACTACACACTCCCTCCAGCTACTCACGTCTCCTGCTTTCCAGAGCCTGCCACCAGAGAAGAATAGTGTCAAAAAACCACTTGGATTTTGTTCTTCCTCATTTCACTTCTAAGATCCTGAGGTTTTCTCTTTCTTACTGTAGTTCTATCTATATGATTACTCACACAAACTCGGCAGAGGACTTCATAATCCCAACCTGTCATGCAGTTACAGTCAGTCTTGCATTTAATCCAATGGCTTGCAGAATTACATTTTAATATACTTCTTAAAGTCCTGTTCAGATATTTTTATAGTCACAGTAATGCTTTTCCTTTCAGGACTGCTGTGTTACACAGCAGCAGCAGCATCTCGTACAGACAACTGTAATAAAAGCGTTCAGATTGGTATGACTGAAGAACAAATGGGTACATACAGGTGTAGAAGCACGAGAAGGAATAAATAGCAATGCAAGGGCTGGTAGGGCAGCGTGTATTGGTGGAAGTCAGATTATCAGGTCATCAAGATCCTTGAATGTATGTATGTGCAGTTTCTGAGGACACGCAGATTAGAAGGACAGAAGTGGCACAGGACGGTGAGACTACACGCTAGACAAATTGCTTTGGACACACATCTCAGTCCCCTTGGTGCATGGCGGTATGCATGCTTGAGAGTGAGACTGAGTAAAATAATTTTGTTTTTAAAATGAAGTCATCTTCGCTTCCTCTAAGCTATTCTTAACTGTTACAATGGTATTTTCTACTCTAGCACGTATTACGCTTTTTGGTGAGCAGACCTTAGATCATTGCATCCAAGCAGGGAGAATATTAAGCACCTGATCTTGTGCTTTTCTCAACCTAGATTAAACTATTTCAATAAAACATGCAAAACAAACATCATTACTTAACCTCAGGTACAGCAACCCTAGGTTTTACTAAAAAACTGTGGAAATTAAAGCAAGAGAAAGACACGATTTTTAAATTGAGAATCCTTGTCAAGTCACACATTACTCCTGTTTTCTGTGACTGAGTATTTGACGTATGTTTCAGTAACTTCTCTGACCTTCCTGCTAGTTTGATTTGTAACAAAGCCTCACCAAGTTAAACACTGTCAAAATACACCCCTATTAAACAGCAACTAAAGGCTTCAAAGGTTAACAACAAAATTGCTAAAGAAATATTCCTGAATGTGGCTTGACATGCAAACACTCCATCGCTATCCTGAAAATAAAACACTATTCATTCACTTTCACAATACAAAATGTTAGAAATAAATAAAAATCCTAATACCTCAGATATTTAAAGCAAAAGAGTTTAAACAAGCTAATGATGTTATCAGTGATACAAAGAAATCTGCATGCAGAACTCGGTATTTAAACTGTCATCGTCCTTGAGCTGTTTAAACCTCAGAGCATTTATTCAGCACCTCAGTATTTAGTATAGCTCCAGTCGACGACTTGCCTCACTTTTCCTATACAGGTCTTCCCCTCCCACGCTGATATTCCCCTGGCATGAAGAAATGCATCATATCCCTAATGCCAAGAGAAACGTTCTGCTGCTTATGGAATGCTCGCTGCGAAATCTTTGCTTATTCTCTGTCACTTTGCATTCCAGACACTTGAGACTGCTCAGATACTCATTTTGTTTGTCTTTCACTTTTCCATATACTTTTAGTTCAATCTAAACAATAAAGTTTAGTTAATGTATATTATATGCTGGAGTGAAAAATTTATGATAGTCATTTTTAGCCCTAAGGAGTAGATGTTATCAATAAGTTAAAATACCTTCAGCTTTGCCTCGGGATGTTCATATGCCTGAAGCATTCTATCTTCTCATGATAATACACAGTATTTGCTTCAGTCACATTTCTTAAAATTACTCATTTAAAAAATTTTCTACTTTAATACATTTTTTACAAGAAAATATATATTTTTCAACTCTTACAATCATGTCGATATGAACCTTTTAAAGCAACACATAAATTTACACAAGCTACTTTTTAAGACTGTCGTTAAGAAACCACAGATAAAAATACTTTTGAAGGATATTTACCAAAATAAAATTTGAGCAAAAGTAGCATTTAAACATGCCCTGACTTGCAGAAATCATAACGTAAACTGTATAGTTGTAGGAACAAAACTAACTCTACCAGTTTTGAATTCAACGGTGCCAGCTGTAACACCAAATGCTGAGAAAAGTGCAAAAATACAAGAAAATGAAATAAAAAACAGGCCCTGTAAAAGCGAAAAGTTGTTATCGATGAGGATAAGGTATTTTGGTTTTAGCATTTTGCCGTTTCTATCCTGCAGCAACTTGTAGTGTTTGTGAATTTATTTACAAATTCAATTTAGCAAATAATGTTTTTTCTCCTTCAATTGACAAATATAGGTTGGCCTTTTAAAAACAGCGTAACGGAGTCCTTCAAATTGTCACAACTTCTAGGCAGAATTCTCCACACCTCCCAGAAGTTGGCTTGACAGCCACTCCTGGTTGCTTACGCAGCAACTTATCACAACATTTATAAACCTGAAGTACTGGAACAAGCAATTTAGGCTCGTTTCAACTCAATCTCAAGTTACAAGATGCTTCTTCACCAATTAAATCCAAAATAAAAGATGGGAGCTTGGTATTCTATAGGGACATCTCATCACCTTATTAAAAAATTTCCTTGGCAGAAAGAAACAGAGAATACCAAGACCAGACAGAGAGCCAAAGAGAGCAGGATGAAGAGAAGCCAACAAACCGATTCAGAAACATTCACGCAGTAGGCAGCAAGAGAAGATTTACACTAATAAAGGCAGTAGTACATGTCTTCTACTGTTATGTATAGAGACAGAAATACATCAGTATTTAATTTCTGCAAAGGACAATAACAGTCTGAAAATCTGATAAAGTTTTTAGTAACAGTGAACAGCAGTAGGTAACCGATAAAAGCAGCAACGCACTCTCCCCAGCCACCTGAGAACCCCCTCTGCAATACTCATATTCTGAAGAATAAACTGGAAAGAAAATGTAAGTGTGAAAGAGAATTTCTAGGAAAATCAAAGTACCTCCATTCTTTGGAAACTCTGTTTTGCATAATCCCTCCCAAAAGTCAGGCTGGGTGAGGAACATCTAGAAGTTCGAAAGGAAAATTGTGGGAGTTCATGACTACGTTGTCCTGGATGCTGTAATATCAACATGGTGGTGGTATCTTAATGGCAGCCAGGGCAACAGAACTAAACCATTACTTGACAGATTTCTCCTTTGAGGAATAATATCTCTTACCAGGAAGCTATTTTTTTGACAAAAGTTACGTTAATGCTTTGGAAAAGCAAGTGTTGTTCTAGTAAGTCTCCTGTATTGACAGATACTTGCAGAGCAAATGAGCAGCAGATTTTCCGTTCCTGGAGGCCAGGAAGTTTGACAAACATGCTGATGAAGAACGTCAAAAGGAAAATGTGTCTTTGGCAATTTTACTAGAAAAGACACTTATACAAAACAAAGAGTTGCAAAATTATTTCTGTATTAGGAAAAAGAAAACTTTCAAAGCCAGACCTTGTTACAGTTGAGAATTTTTGATTCAGAAGTCAGAATTCTGAGCAGAAGTCACACCTGAAAATGATTTAGCTTACAACTTTGTTTCAAAAATTTACGACTGAACTGCATCTCCCATTCTCAGACTGCATGTATCTCTTCCAAGAAATACTTGTTCCTAGAAATACAAATAACTTCACAGTTGTATCAATGTCCAAGAACACTCCTCCCCCTTGTTACAAATAAATATCTTCCCATTACAATGAACATAAATTGACCATGGTTATTCACAGATTATTAATAGTCAAACAATGAATAGTTATTATAGAAATGCTGACTATACATAAGTGCTGCTATTAGTTCAGCACTGAAGTAAAAAAAGTCATTAGCAATAAAGCTATTTTCAACTAACGGGAAGTCAGAAATGCCAGAATTGCAAAGTTTATAATTCTCTGAATTTGGACACTCGTTTAATTCAAGACTAGAAAAATTTTTAGCAGTACTGTATGTTCAAAAAAAATCATGAAAATGAAAAAAAATTGGCACGAAGATGCACATACTTTAAATTTTGAAAAGACAGATTCAATAGGTAAGCATCAGAAAGCAAGCACTTCATGATTTCAGAGTTGAATTCTCAATTAAAGCTTGCATATTTATCATTTGCATAATGTATCTAATATGAAATCCAAATTTAGGAGTACCCCATTCAACAACTAGCTGATGTCTAGCTCCTTTTTCTACCAACAAGCACAAAAGAGCATAGGGCTCTTGGATTATACTGGAAGGTCAGGAAAAGAGGAAGCGACGTTCCCATCTGACAAAGTTATTTCTTCAAATTATTTTACTTCCTCAGGGAAGACACCCAGGCACCAAAGGAAAGAAAATGTTTGAATACTTGATTTAACCGTTTTGTTCAGAAAAAAATGAGAGTATTTTCTTTTTAGATAATTTTTTTAGATATATTAAACATTTCTGTTTCTTATCAGTCAAGTTCTGCTTTCCCCTGACATTGCTGACTACCTCTTAGTTGAAGCAGCAATTTTTGCCTAAATGAAATGCATTGATAGATGCTGTTTAACTAATGCAAACGAGCAAAGAAGCAAGAAATAATATGTTAAGAAAGCAGAGAGCACAGCTGTTATACAGAGCAGAATCCCCATGAATTTGCCATTTTAATGACCTACAGCACAGTCATATTTTCAGCTCAGTGGAAGATGCACATGCGAACCCCCTGTTTCCCAACAGAGCTAATATTTTAAATCATTTTTATGAAAATATTTGCATTTACATTGCACTCCAGTGATTACTTAGGGCCCACACCTTGTAAGCAATGCACTGTAATCAGTTTATTACCGCAGCCATTCTAATACAGTCCTACTGATGACGCCTCTGTAGAAAGAACAGCCGCACACACCTCCTTTGGGAGATGGACTTTTGACAGCTTGCTTCTAGCGGAGTATTTTAGAAGCCCAGGAGAAAGCAAAACACTGCTGGCCCTGGAAGACGCCTTTCAGTCACAAGCGCTTTGGCACATGCAGGCTCTACATACTGAAACGGACTTACACTGCTGTATCTGGTCTCTCTTACTGGTTTAGCTGTTGTTTTTTTCTACGTCATAACAATCACATCCTTTATAGTGAATCAAAAGACGTTTCTTGTCTTTTAATAAGGTTTCAAATATTTAGTGAAACTACTGTGCAGCAGCTCTGCAAACAGAGCTTGTCAAAATACTTCTGTATGTTCGGCACTGACCTGCTAAATCCAGAAACAGAGATGGCTCCCCTGTTTCCAGTCCAAGATAAATTCAGCCACTGGATGAGAGTGCAGCGAGACTGTAGGTATTCCAGAGATGTGTCATTAATCCTTGCCCAGTAAGGTTGTAAACTGAGATGAATGTACTGTAGAGGATCACAGCAATGTTGATATAGTAGCTTACAAGTTTGCGCTAGTCTACACAGGTCTGGTACTGTAAGGTGACTCAAAATCAACTGGATGAGCTATATTAAAAATAGAAAAAAAAATTAAGTCACAGATGGTCATATAGCACTTGAAATGTTAAGGGAAAACTGCAAAGGAAAAAGAAAAGATGTTCTGACTTCAAAGAAAAGTAAACCCTTTTACTTAAAAGTAACTTCTCAAATAAATCATTGATTAACTATTAAATAGGACTGCACTGTCTTCTCAATTTGACAACATATTAAACAAGAAAGGAAAAAGCAGATCAGCGTATGAAAGCAATATGAAGCTTTCAAATTAGAAGTTTCTTTACCCATGCTAATTTAAACAGTGATATATATGTAAACACTATGTTTACATATTTCCCTTCACGATGTCTGCACTGCCATTGATCAGAACACTGAATTGGCATCCTCCTCCTCTCTGGGTTTGGTTTTTAAGATGGTAGCATATTTGCAGAATACATGGAAAAAAAAAACATACCACAACCCAATTTCCCCACACCTTGAACTGACTTCAGATTTATTCCTCTGCTCCCTGCTTTAAAAATCAGTGTTTCGTCTTCTACCTTACATCCTCTCCCATGCACGCTGGACGATGCAACTAGGTAAAAAAATTCAACACACTCAGATCTTCTTCCACAAAGTAATCTCTTCCTTGCTGTAATTCTTTGAGAGCATGTTTGTTCTATGCCAGAGTCAAATCTGAACGGCAAAAAATCCTTTTTACCGTTACCAGATTGGATCATCTCAGCTTCAGAATAACCACCAGCCCTTCTGACTACCACCACTATACGTGTTTTTGTAATGACTTCTCTCACACTCAGAAATTAAGAAATATCCCCTGTCTCCTACCATGCTCTGTTTTCCTTTCTAAAGGAAAGTCAACACAGAAACACATAAATACTTTAGGAAATAACAAAAATGTTCAGCAACAACAACAAAAAAAAATCTCCTTTAGCTTAGAAACTGAGAAATGCATTTGAGAGATGAAATCTAAAAATTAATGTTTACTCTACCAGGGCTGTCTTTAACAGCTATAAGTACCCGCACTCAAGTTATATAACTAAAATTGACTAAGTGTTTTCAAGTAGAGTGGGGAAAAAATAACTCGCTGAAATGAATCACTGTAAATTAAAAAAAAAAAACAAGCAACCAAACAAAAAAATCCAACAACAACCCACAAATCAGCTTAAAGTGAAGAGAGTCCTGCTGCCCTTTCAAAATACCATAATTTTTTATTTTATTGTCTTACAAGGATTCGTAAGACAAAACCGCCAAAAATCAAGCGAAACGCTTGACATAAAATGAAAATGAAGCTTTTTGTGAGATCCAAACAGATTGCACTTCCAATGTACCAGTTTATTATGCAGCTACCTTCCGCCTTCCCCTCCTCCTCCCTTCATTTTTGGAAGAGAAGAAATAAGAAAACAATCCAACTTCCTGCGAAATGAAAAATGTTACTTCCTACTCAGCTCCAGATTTAGTATTTGGATTTCAAACATGATCTACAAGTCTTTAAAAAATTTCACTTCAACTCCAATGCCAAAATACAGTGTTTGCATATACTCCAGTTTCTCTCAAGCTTGATTTCAAGCTTTCCCTCTTCCCTTCTCCTCGCTCCTCCTCTCCCCGAAAAACAATGCAGGCTTTTTGTCTCCACAGGTGCCTGAAACTCTCACCTCAGCTTGGTGCAGAGGATCTGTGCAGACATTTCAATGTGACAGCAATATATATACATAAAATGCAGCTGCATATATAATCACTGCAGTTTATTTATTATAATCAACAAAGTTTGCTCCCAACTGACATTTAGGTTGATGGCATTTTGATATCTGAGAAAAAGCAAAATAACTAGGAGCTAAAATAGATAGAATCCTAAACTAGTATCTTAATTTTTGCTTGGGTCAGACCCAGACTTAAAAGTTGCTTAACACAGTTTCGTTTGTCATTCTAACAGTAGATATCTAAACACATACCTATTTTTCTAAGACCACCAATTCACTTTAAATAATTTTCACTATTCTGAAAGACAGTTTCAAGCTATTTTGCCATCCTTCAGCTATTCCACACTCTGTAAGCCACCGAAATATCTATTTTATGAATGCCTTTTCCCTCAGATTTTTCCCAGGCTTATTTAGTAAGTTTTCTGGAACAGATTGCTCAGCAACAAAGGCTGCATGGTTAGCTAAATTTATGTCTACAATTAATGTGGCGTAATAACGCCTGATAAAAACAAAGTAACGCAAATCTTGTTCAATATAAAAAAAGGTTATTTTGTAACTTCTGAGCAGTGAAGATAATGGTGAATGACACTATAAATGTCTCACCAATGTCCCTTTACACTAACTGATGACTTCAATGAGTATTTCATAACATACAGGATGCTGCAATCTTTCCACACCTGAGATGAAATCTCTTACCACAATAATGTCTTAATCAGAAAAAATAATCCTTCTTTACTTTTTACTGAAATTATGCTACTTCATAATATCTAGAATGAAAAAATATAATGAAATGTCACTACCATGACATTAAGATATCAAGTACTTTTTCTCTGGCTTTTGATTAAACAAAGATAACAGGTTCCAAACCTACAGGCTAATAACCATTAATCACCGTTAGTCTGGAGTCTGGTGTCTGTCAGAAATTCGCTTTATGTATGTGTATCCTAGCATAAAGTACAATTTGATACCATAATGAGTATGTGACATGATGTGCTGCATTGTGCTATACGCCATGTTCGTGGAGATTCCAAGAATGCTGCAGAATTGACTATCTGCTTTGAAAACTCCTTTCGTAACAGAGTTTCTCGCAAACAACTGGTTTTACTCTGCATTTATGAGAAATTATGGCAGCCATTACTGTTTGACACTTCCTCATAAATCGATCGGTAAAAACAAAGATTATTGGGAAAACAATACAAAGGAGCATAAAGAAGAAAACAAAAAAATAATTTATACAACACTGATTGCCTTTTTAGGCTATGATGGACCAAACGTACAAAAGTATTCTCTCCCGTTTCCAGGGCAAACATGGCATGTGTCAGCTTTAGAGATGCGGTGAGATCAACACCCACTACAGTGAAAATCTCCAAAAATTGGAGGTTTCCAAATCATAATTCTCCACAACAATTCAACAAACAGTAGTATACAAATTCATTGTGTGCTGTTTGAGCACAAAAAAGATCCTGATTCACATCTGATCCGTGTGTGTTTTATCATCATCATAGTCCCTAACTGCAGCATGTTACATATATCCTTATATTTTGAATTATCAACTAAAAAATATAACATCTGTAAAAAACAGACGTCTCACCCACTGCAAAGTTTGCCTATAAGCTCAGACAGGATCTCCATCACACTCTTCAATATATGGGGTAAAACTTTACCAGTGATGTAGCTCCTAATAGTACTTACCCAACAAAAAGTTCCTCCAGCTTTTTTTGCTGAATAACAGCAAGCAATAACCATTTGTACCCAATACACCACCTTCTGTGGCTACAGCACAACAGTGCGGCACTTGGCTTGGTCAGAAAATAACGCTTGGGTGCTGGTCAAACCTAGAATATCTGCACTTTCTACAAATTTCCTCTTTTAGTTCTTCTAACAAATCCCTCCAATATGAAAATACATTGGCCTATGCAAATCAATCATTCAGAAACACACAAATGAATGACTTGCAATTCTTTCATTCTGCAGCTAGAGCTGCCACAGCTTAGACTCTAACTAATTAGAATTGATATGAAGACATGCTCAGATAAAGGACAAAGGATATGTGCACAACAAGGCAAAGAGAGAAGGCGGGAAGGAGAAGATGGTATTCTAGGACTCTTGACACTCCACAACATAGTTTAAGAAAACACAGTCTGTACAGTTCCACGGTCCTAGAGATTGCACCAGCAAATGCATACACATTTAATAGCGCACGTGAACATGTGAAAAGTGGATCTTGCAACTGTTTCACAGAACACAACCATTTAAGTATCTCTTTTCTTTATTCTACTCACATAATGTGCTTTGGCAGAGTGGGCTTTACATCACCAGGCTATAGGCTTTGATCCTCGCAGCAACGAAAGGCCATAAAGGTTTTAAGCCTCTTCTTGACTCAAAGAACAGAAAAGGATCTTACAGACAGACCGCATGCTCAAATAATAGAGACTCCAGGAGGACTAAAGCTGGAGAGATCTCCATGTGACACCGCTCAGAGCCTAGTCTGCTACAGCAACTGGCCGTATATCGGCCGCCAACTGAAGGGAATCTTGTGCCATACAGTTACTATCCATTACAACTGCTTTTAAGACCCTCATGAGTTTCTCTTTCCAAAGAGAGGCATAAAATTTTGGTGATTATCTGAAAACCTACAAATATTTGTTCTGGAAAGATGCAAGAAGTTTACTGCTGAGGGGAAAAAAAGTGTATGACACTTAAAGATGCTCCTGCTTATTGCTCTGACTCTTCTTAGTATCATTTAAGAGATGCAGATCTTAAATTCAAGACCTGTTTTCCTGGAACATAGGTGCCAAATCCACATTTAGCGGTGAAATTCACTTCCCCAGTAGACATGAACAGCTCATAAATCTTGTAGGCAGCTTTAGGAAAAATTGGCTTCAAGGAACGACAGAGTTTTTTTATATCAAAATTTATATTAAAAATATCTTTTGGACTGCAGCACGAAGGATTTCTCCTGACTGTCCTCTCTGGAGAACAAAAGTTAGGTTCTTGGTACCTGGCATATCTTGGCGAGTCTCAGACTGCACAACAGGTATGCTGTGGCAGGTATTCCTCACCTTTCACAAAGACTTTTAACTTGTCCAGGCCTTCAGG